GGTGACGTAGGCTCTTTAACTCTTGGTGATGTTGACAAAACCAAAATCGATGGTAAAATTACTTTCAACAAGTTAGTTAACAATATAGGTTTTTGGACAATTGGTTTGGACGATGCTTCTGTTAATAAAAAAGCTCTTAACCTTGGGAAAAGAAATGCTATAATAGATACTGGAACTACTCTTGCAATTATACCACCAAATGATGCTGAAAAGATTCATAATAAGATTCCAGGTGCCGTTGTAGTTCAAAATCAATTTTGTGTGCCCTGTAATACAACTGCTAGTGTAGCATTTACCTTTGGTGGTGTTAGCTATAGTATTGATTCAAGAGATATAACATTTCAACCTATTGGTCAAGATAATCTCTGTGTTTCTGGAATTGCTGGTGGAAATATTGCTGGAAATGATACTTGGCTTGTTGGAGATACGTTCTTAAAAAATGTTTACTCAGTATTCAACATAGTAGATCTTACTGTTGGATTTGCCAATTTAAAAAAATAATTTATTTGACACATGGGTGAGTTACTCACCCAAGTATAAAAGGAAAGTTGCGAGAGAACAATTCGGATTATATTACACAACAAGGGTTACCCTAGTAAAATTGTAAGATATCATTTTTTTCAAATTTTAGTATAGGGATGAGACTCACCTTGGGTGAGAAATAAATTTGTCTTTAATAAAATGTGTATTTGATTAATAAAATTCATGAAAATTGCTGTTGGTTAATAACAATCATTTTTGTTACTGTAATAAAAAAATTGTCATTCAAACTTTTACAAAATAAGGATCGGGTCTCATGGTTATTTGGTTCTCAGTTTTTAGACTGGTCTTCATAGATTGTTAAATAAAAAAATGCAATGATTTAAAATGTAGTGAATAGTTCAAAACCATAACAGGTATAATACCGACTAAATTTAAGCTAATGAGTTACACCGATGTTTTATACTTTAAGCCAGGCATACCGAATAATTGACTGTGAGGGAAATTGATTGCAATTATTTGAACTAATTGATTGGTGGCGCAGCCACGATGAGTCAATTATTTATGATGAATCATTTACATGACGAATAAAGATTCACTAATATAAATAATTAGTAAATCACTTAAATGATTCATCATACCTATGTGTCTCTAATATCGAAGCAAATGCAGTAATAATAATAATAATAGGCTATACTACGTGACAGTAAAGTGTCAAGATCCCTTGCGGACATACAAAAATATTGGTTCTGAGAATGGTTTTACATGAAAGTATAATTGGTTTAATTGGTTTAATACTCTAGAAATGACGTTTATAAACATTCTTTAATAGATGGTTTTTTTTTTCTTTCGATACAAGCTTAACTCATTTTCAACTCAGTATTTCTTGACTGCGAAAAATTAAAACAAAATGGAAGAAAATGGATTCTTGCCAACTGTTCATTTTCGGCCCAAAAAATCATTTCCTGAACTATCCGAACATACCTCCTCTTGTTCAGCAAATCGAAGGACTCGTCCTTATCCATCCAGCTGGCAACAAAAAAATAAAAATCAACTTTATGGAAAATACACAAAATGGAATCAAACTAATAGTCATGAAGAACCTAATGATGACACTCAAGAATATGAAAGACCAGCTAAACGACTTTCTTTATCAAATCCTACAGCTTATAAATGGAATCAATATCAACAAAATGCTGAGGACAATGGTATTGGAAATTCAAATCTCTCAGATGATAATCCAAAAGGACAATTTCAAAGATCTATGAGTAGTTTTATGTTTGGAAGTAAATCTGTTGAATCATCATCTTCTGCCATGAAAAAGTTTATTCCTTATGATTTGCAAGAAGACAGTACTTTATCACAACCTGGTGATCGTGGAGGTTTTCAAAGATCACTGGATGGTTCTTTATTTGGAATGAGATCTATCGAACGTTCGAATCAAACTTCATCAATGGAATGTAATACTTTAAGAAAGGTTCAAGCTGAAACTCGAAGAAATGATTTAGTGGTCAAAATTGCCGGTCCTATTGAATTCCTTCCTAGTGATTATGTAAGTAATTCAATTGCTATTTCTTTTTTTTTTTAAGTATATTATATATTCAATACATAACATTGCATTTTGGTTTGTGAAAAGCGTAATAATATTCGAACGCTTGCCACAAGACACTCATTAGCCAAGTTTAATGACGTGACTCTCAATAATGTAATGAAAAGTTACAGGAATAGAAATTCATCTGGTTCCAACCCTTTTGAACCTCTCAAAGATATTGAAATAACAAAAGAAGAATGGGTTTCCACTATGAGAACCCTTGATTTATGTAACAAAAACCACACGTTGCCTCTTTTTTTCCCATGAGTTTAAATAATTTTCATGTATTATTGTTTTCATGACTAAACAATTAACAGTAGATTGCAGCCGGAATACGATGAAAGCATTACAGCAATGGCAAGACATCAAAATCAAAATTCCGATTACCGTTGGCAAAATTATAAAACTAGATTCAAATAAAAAAGTTGCTACCATTGCAGATTATACAGGTACGTATAAAGAGTTATAAAATATATATATAGTTTATGGTACTAATTTCTTTTATTATCAAGGTAAAATACAAGCGATTATTCATGAAAAGGTTCTTCGAGTTCATAGTCAACAGTTTCAACTTGGCGCAATTATTGTGTTAAAGAATGTAGGTGTTGCAACAAAAGGAGTTGGTAACTATTTTAAAGATGACTTCGCAAGGCCTCTTATTATATATAATTTTTTCATAATGTTCATTCAATTTAGGTAGCAATTCTTCGATCAATTGGGAATACATATCTTAATATAACTCTCTCTAACGTTTGTTTGATATCAATGCCTGAACAATCAAACAACCTAGAGTCAACAGTTAGTGTCTTACTATTATTAACCTATTTCCTTAACAATATCTGGCAATACAATAAGATCTTTTAAAATATATAAGCTATCCAGCCCAGAATCACATGCTATATCAGTTGACCTTACTTATAGATATAATGAAGGAGTAGACTCGAAAAGTGTCAATCAAACCAATGTATGCTATACTGGTAGTTCTGATAATGATTTGACGACTAATAATGAAAGCTCAGAATGTGTAATATCGACAAATATTAACGAACCTCGTAAGTTAGTCGAATATTTGATGCAAATATTATAAAAATAACATATAATTATCTATGTTTAAATTTTGCATTAGAAGTAAAAGTAACGTCGATGTCGAATGATCCGGAAATTAATAGCTTTATGGGATCCAATATGGAAGATCCCGAAGATATTTCATGGATGTTGGATGATTTGGAAGAAGTAGTATTAGTTGACTATTGATTTTAAATCATTTGTTTAATCACTTTTAAATTTATGCAGAAATGATCTTGATGTAAGATAGGAAATTTACGCATAAATGACCTTTATGTAAGGTGCGCGATGTTTCAGCAATGTGAAATAAAATTTTATAACTCTTAAAACGCTCGTACATACGACTTAAGTGTATCCTAATGATCAATTAAAAAAATAAAGATTTTTTGACACAATTATCGACTTATAAGGTTATGCAAATGTAATTCTCATAATGAATAAGCAAACTGAACACAGTCGTAAATGGACTACGGAACAATTTTTAAGTGGTTAAAGGAATAATGACATTTTTTATATTATATTATTTATACAGTATTAAATTATTTAAATAGCTGCTAAATTTATATCTCACTAGTATTCATCACATACTTGAAAGTATATCCTTTTCCTTGTGCTAAGAATTTTTTTCGTTTTCTTTCTCATACTATCGTTTTGAATTTATGCTTGTCTTATATAAGGTCGGGTATAACTAAAGGCAATAATAAGTACAGTGAAACCCCCCTAAATGCATCCCCCTAAGTGCATGACCTCCTTAATTTTTTGGCCATAAATGCCATTTTTTATTATTGTTCTCTAAATGGAAGTTATAAAAAGTTTGGTCCCAATGATATGCATTTACGGAGGTTTGACTGTAAATGCCTTCTATATGAGGGTAGAGACGAACAATAATGCTTTAAAATAAAGAGGTTTTACAGTGATTTGAATTACGAAAGAGACAAACGGCTTAATGTATATAAAGATACAAATGGTCGTGTAAGTTATATATACGGTTTATTTTAGTTATTCGTGTATGAAAACACGATTACTCTTTTATTATGTTATGGTGAACGATGAATCCAAAAGAAATGTCGGTGTTATACAACTATTGAAAATTACATTTATTGGCTATATCTATTCTATGAGATAATTTATGCATAATGTAATTTAACTAACATTATGTAATAAAATAGACAGATACAATGAGAATAAAAATATACGACAGCTATTGGAAATTCAAGCTAGTGGTTCATGATGAACTGGTTTGGACCGGCTTGGGACTGGACTTTTTAGGGATAGCTCAGGACTAAGTCAGAAACCAGCCTACAATTTTGTGGTCTCGAGGTCTTCTAATTGGCTTACATCGATCCAAATGTGATTATAATACTTAGAGTTCCTATCCATTATCCGTTTATTGCATGTATTGGGGGATATCCAGATTTGAATTTATTCGGATATCCGTTTTACTATTGATATCCGGATAAATTCAGATATGGATAAATGGATGGCGAAACAAATTCAATATCTATGTATTTTATAATTACTCAGATAAAAACGGTTTCAGACAGGGGTTATATAAACTAGTTCTTAACTAGTTATGGCTAATTCAAGCGAATTTGGCATTCGTAATGTGTTACACACGTGATCAAGATGCCAACTAAATGGACAAATATTGATCAAAATTTATATTTATTTTTTTATTATATACAGCCGTCTCTTCTAAATGCATACCCTAAGCCATTGTTAGGAAGATTACTACGTCCAATTATATATTTCCAAAATCAATTGGACATATATCCAAAACTAATTGTGGCGCAATTTTTGTCCAATTTATGATCTTAAATGCATATTAGTTTTCTAGCCCAAATATTTACTAAACTCCCATAAATGCATTTTTTATTATCGTTATTGTTCTCTAAATGCAAGCTCTCGAAAGTTTGGTCCCGAGGATATGCATTTATGGAGGATTGACTGTACTAGTGTTTTTATTACAAATTGTAAAGAAGATAATCATGATTCTAATGATAGCAGGATCACAACAATTGACCTAATAAATTGCAAGATACAAACCAAAAATATTTTATAGATTTAAAATTTTTTTAAAAATTTTAAAGAATTACAAACTTTTTTGACTCATATTTTATGATTTCTAGTCAATCAAATTTCAAGATTTTGTTGTAATATAGCACGATCGTTCTTTTTGTCAAACATCGTTTATACATATCTCAATATGATGAAACTGCCTTTTGCGCATTACTAATAAAAAATTTCCCCTGTAAAATTTTGGCATAAGCGGAATCTTCGAACCATATTTTAATGGCAAGTTCTTACCTCTAACCTAACAGCACAGCAAAATATTTTGAGATTGTTTTGAGTGGCGATTTCATCAACCAGTCACAAGATTGATTGAAATTTAAAAAATTAAGCAAATTTCGTTTAGTGAATCTAGAAAGAAAACTTCTTAGTTTACATGTAGTGTATTGTACATGGGTATTAATTTACAAATAACATAACAATTAACGTAACAATAATTTTTATTAAAAAAAAAAAAAGGTAAACCCTGCTTAAGGTTAGAGTACACTTAGGGTAGGCCAATGGCTTATACCGAAAATTTTTTGTTAGAATACAGAAGGTGGTTTCATAATTGATATTTAAGATATAACAATTTTTCAAAGAAAGAAATTACATTACACCAGATCTTGCATTCTGATTGGCTTTTCTATATACCCGCGTACATATACGTAGTGTACAAATAGAAATTTTCATAGGGAATTTTTAAAATTTATATATATGAAAAAGGCAATTACTTTTATGCACTAGTGTATCAAACATATACGTATATATTTATAATTTTTAAAATTATATATATAAACTACTTTTGGAATTCTAACAAAAGATTCCTCGTGAAATTTTAATATAGGCTATGTATTATTCTAACCTTATGCCCTATTCTACACTAGAGTTATTTTCTATGAAAAATAATATATTACCTCAAATAAAGAATAACTCAATTAGTGGTTGACACTCGAAGGCCTAATAATCCGAATACAGTCTTCGCTTTATTAATCCTCGATACCCAAAAAGTCAATTAAACAATCCTTTATTTATAATTAGAGCTCGTGACGTAATCTAGAGTGCAATTACCAGGACCAAGTCTCTAAAAACCTTCCATTATTAGCGTTAGGGTTAGTTATATTTAGTTTTAGTATATAATGTTTGTAGTGCTATACTATGAAATACTGTATCTATTTAGCAAAAATACCTTGATCCGTATGTGCACAAGCGGAAACGGTGTTTCCACCAATACCCAACGGTTCAGGATATTTTTATTGCTAATCCATACTTGCACCGGAAACTTTTACAACGTACAGTACCCTCAAAAAATTTATCACGGTTACACGAAAAAAACTAAGCATAAATTTCTAAATATGTAAATTTATTGCTTAGCAGTTATCGCTATCGTTAGCAAATTAATACGTAACAGTTACGTATGCAAATTAATACGTACGCGTACTTTTTGCATATTTTATGTTAAGCTTTTTGCGCAACTGTGATATACTTTCTGAGGGTATTGTATGTGCAATTTAAATTTAAACCCGGTAATGTAACTTTTCTTAGGAAATACCAGTTCGTGACGTAATAGTTAATCAATCAAATGAAACTAACGTTAATTAAACGCTTGATAATTAAAGCACAATGTCCATCAACATATTAAGTTGCAAGGTTTAAATTGGTTCTTAATTACCATAAGAGTCATAAAAAGGTTCCCCATGAATTAGCCCGGGCGCAAATTACGGAATCTACATTAATCAAACGTGGTTTTTTTTCAAATATCTAGACTACTTGCCATAAATGCAAAATGTGCATGCTCCTTAAAATTTTTTTCTTAATAATCTAAACTCTCAGCCGTATACTAGACCCGGGTCTTGTATATGACCCTTTACGGTAGTTCATGGCTGGACTTTTCAAGATCGGACTGGGTCCGGACTTTTAACATTCCAGCCGTTCTTTTTTGGCGTTCTGGCGTTTTGATGACAGTCATGTTTCAGAAGAGACAATCTTGCAATCATTCGAGGAAAATATACTACCTTCTGATTATCTGGTTTTACGATTATACTGGTTTCAAACCTTATCTTGTTTCAGATTATTCACAGTGCCAAAGTTCATCTTTAGTGTTTATCAACAAGATGATTTTTACATCCATCTTAGCTATCAGATGTTCAAGTCAACGAAGGCAAATTGGCTAGCGCACAACCTAGTTTTCGACTTTATTTAAATACGCCTTTTCTAACATCACATATGTTTTTTTCAAATTTTAATGAAATAGATGTTCTCTTACATCGCTTTATGTGAATCCCATTGAATTTCTTTATTATTCATATCTTGCATATTATCATACGGTCTCAAAAAAAAAAAAAAAAAATTTTTTTTGTCACGTAAATTATTACTTCAAGCAAATAAAATTCATTGATTTTTTATTTTAAGTCTATGAATTCTTGTCATAAATAAAATCTTTATATTCTAGCAATTATTATCTTTGCTACAATAATGTTACCAAAATACATTTCTCTGACAATCATTCTGACCTTGATTTATTGTCATTCGGTTACCGCTATTCCGTTCAATTTCTCTAGCGAAAGTTCTGTTAACGACGCTCACGCATTTATTTATGATCAAGAAAAAGTACGTGGTGTGAATCTTGGAGGATGGTAATTATATGATTATATAAATTATTTATTTAAACAAAATGCTTTCAGGTCTTTGACTAACATGCATTTGATTTCTTTTTCTTTGCATAAGGTTGGTGCTAGAACCATGTAAGCAATAAATTATATTACGTCATGAATTTCATTTTTAAAGTATCACAGGTATCATATGAATGTCACCAAGTGAATATTTTTCAGACATTCATATACAAAAAGTTGTATATTCATTATTATAGAAATTGATTAATCAAATAGTGCCGCTTTACATCTTTAATTACGATAGATGAGTGTCATAGATATAACATATGATATCTGATATTTTTTAATAATATACGTTAATATATTTATGTGACACGTATTTATTAGGGATTACGCCGAGTCTTTTTGAACAATTTGTTGGCGCCCCACAAGAAGCCGTCGATGAATATACGTTCACACAGGTTTTAGGTTATCACGAGGCTAAACAACAACTTAATAAGCATTGGTCGACATGGGTCACTGAAAAGGATATAATGACATTGGCTTCTTATGGAATTAATCATCTTAGGTGCGGGCGTCTTTCAAGTAGTATTGCATGTAATTGCAATATCGTGATATATTTGTCAGTCATATGATTTCTTTATTATATTGATAGGATACCTATCGGTTATTGGGCTTTTGATAAGGTGCCTAGCGAACCATTTGTCAAGGGTGCTTTCAAATATTTGTTGAAAGGAGTCAAATGGGCCAAGAAATATAATTTAAAAGTTGTTCTCGATTTACATTGTGCACCGGGATCTCAGGTCAACAAAGTCTATTGATATCATTCTCGTCATCATGGCCACGACACATTCACTAATTTATGTTTATATTCAGAATGGATTCGACAATAGCGGTAAACGAGGTCCTGTTGGATGGCAAACAAGCGCGGCAGATAATATTCCACGTACTATTAAAACCATTAAAATCATGACTGAAAAGTTTAGTAGACCAGAATTTAAAAATACGGTCACCGCCATCAATGTTCTCAATGAACCTGCTAGGAAAGTAACTTATTATTTTCCTCTCAAATTCAAATATAAAACTATATGATTAATTTTGTTTTATCATTTACATAATAGTTGGGGTGGTAATCAACTTAATTTAACACAAAAATTTTATAAAGATTCATACAAAGTTATTCGTCACATAAATAGTGATATTTTAATTGTATATCATACGGCCTTTTTACCTCTAAATACTTGGCAAGATTTCCTAAATTCTTTCGGATTCGATAAAGTTGTGTTAGATACTCATGTCTATGCAGTTTTTGACTACTCTATATTGGCTTTGAATCAAGAACAGCGATTGAATTTTGTTTGCTTAAATAAAGTAGATATTACATCTAATCAAAATGTTTGGACATTGGTTGGAGAATGGTAAATTACTTTAAATTGTATTTATCGTTACTATTATAATTATTTAATATTAAATTATGTTCATTTTCTTTCTTATTACTTGAACAGGAGTCTTGCTATAACCGATTGCACAAAATGGTTAAATGGTTTTGGTCGTGGTGCGAGATATGACGGAACTTTTGAAAAAGATCATGGTCCTATCTGTCCCAATTGCACGTGTCAAGATGAAGGCAATTATTTGAAGTGGTCGCATGATTATAAAAACTACCTGAAACAATATGCGTCAGCTCAAATGGATGCTTATGAAGCTGGGTAAAGTGTTTGAATATAATATTATATGTTGCGCATTTTATTGTAATTGGGCTCATAATAAATTCTTTTTGTTAGAATTGGTTGGATTTTTTGGAATTTTAAAGCAGAAAATTCACCACATTGGGATTTCATGCTTGGAATAAAAGAAGGTTGGATCCCACGTACATCTAAGGAACGAACATATACTTGTTCTTGAAAACCATCTATTAGCATTATCGTCATAATTTTTTGCTCACATTCCATATTAATAAGTTCGTGTAACCCCAAATATTATAAGAAACATGCTGTAAATTTCGTTGTTTAAACAATATGTAATTACTTTTTAAATAAAATTAAAATTATACAATATATGTATGTATAAATAGTGTGGATAATGGAAATTGACAGTAGCACATCATCGAATGTTTATTCAACTTCAACGAATGAAGAACATAATGAAAAGTTAGTTCCAAAATTTTGGGTCGACAAATATAAAAAAGAAGCTTCAAAGAATTGGTACAATCTATATAATTTTTAAATATTGATTAGTAACTCAATAACTTTCTCCTCGATAATAATTTGCGTTATCAATATCGGATAGGGATTTATTTTATAAAAGAAATACTACCAAATTTTTTAAAAATCGTAATTGGATTGGACGTGAATTTTCAGAACTTTCATTTGAGAATGGTCTCAAGCAAGAAAAAAAAGTATTTTAGCTTTATTACTTTTATATACTTAAATGAAGATAATATGAAATTAATTTCTAACCCTTGTGGAAAAAGGTTATCTTAGAATTAGGTTGTGGAGTAGGAAACTTTATGTTTCCGGTTTTAGAATCAAATCCTAATCTCTTCATTTACGCTTGTGACTTTTCAAAACGTGCTATCGAATTCATTAAGGCAAGATATTTATTTATTTAGTTATTTGTCTATTAGCCCTTTATTTTCACCAAAATTTCCGATTTTTTATATTTATCTTTTCATTAATTTTATTGATCATCTGATGTTTTTATTTTAATTAAATTGAATATTTTCTAAACAGAATCATGAAAAATACGATAATTTAAGATGTCATGCTTTTGTTTGTGACCTAACGACTGATAGCCTAAAAAATAATATACCATCAGGAAATATAGATGTTGTTTCTTTAATATTTGTATTATCGGCTATACCACCAGAAAAACACTACGATGTAATACGTAATATATCAGAGGTAATTAGAGAAACTTTTTTTTCATCTTTTTCTTCTCTTATGGGGAGAATTTACATTGTACATTCTTTAACTCTTAAAAAAGGTTACAAGAGAAGGATCAATAATATGTTTTCGTGACTATGCGAAAAATGATGAAACTGAAATTAGATTTTCAACAATAACAGCTCAGCATAAACTACAAGAAAATTTATATGTTAGACAAGATGGGACGATGTCATATTTTTTTACTCTTGAATATTTAAGAGAAATATTTAAAAAAGATGGTTTCTTTGAACTGGTGGATGATGGTTATGTTGCAAGAGAAACTGTTAATAGAGCGAAGGGTTTATGTGTCGATAGAAAATTTCTACAAGCAAGATTTAGGAGGTTATAATTATTAATTTTTTTTTTTTTTTATGAATATTTATTAGATATCAAAGTTTCTAAAATAAAACGTAAGTTGTCAAAACGCACAATATTGAATAATTAAGCCAAAGTTTTAATCACTTCATTTAATGTATTTTTTTTTTATTCGTTTCAATGCCTCAATTTATAATAATTAAAATATAAAAATCCACAGTTCGATAACGAAATTCAGCTATAGAAAAGACATAATAATTGCTTTATCAATAATAATAATAATTTGGATATTTATTATCCACATCTCAATCTGACTTCTGGAGATGATTAAAGCATATGTTGTAAAACTTTCAGTATTATTTATTATGAGATAATAAAGCCAACTCTTTTTCAACGTCCGAAAAAATACTAATACCAGATTCTAATGAGTCAATTAATATTTCTAATCGATTAGAATCAAGATTTTGGTCCTTTCATATATCAAACACAATAAGTATATCTCTAATGAAATCTATAATAACAAAGATGTAAAAATCAAATACCTTTCGAATTCTATCCAAATCCTCACCAAATGCTTTAGTAATTTGTGACATATAATAATCACGAAACTGACTTGCAGCATTCGGACGTGACAATAATGGTATTGGTTCAGGGTCTTTAATCTTCTTAAAAATCATGGATTAGCATTATTTTTATAAAATAAACGATAAATTAAAATATATAAATTACCACTTTCGGTTCTTGATAAGACGATGCTGTCTGTCGTGCTTTTGAAGTATCTTGTTTTTTATTATCTGATATTTTCGCATTATCTTCCTCCATTTTTTCATTATCAGATTCTTCATCCTCTTGTTCACTATTATCACTATCTCCTGATTCATTTACTTCCTTTGCAGACTCAAAATTCTCTATACACTCCATTTTCGAGTCATCGTCGTCATCAGATGATTCTACATCTTCATCCTCATCGCCTTCACTATTAAATGTTTCGTCTATTGGTTCATTTTCACTATTTTCACTCTCAGTTTCCTCAACTTCACTTTCACTAGTCGAAGTTGACATAACTAAAATTTATCACTATAAATCGATATTTAAATTTGAACACTCCTTACCAAAATTGTATAACTATTAAGCGTTAAATTTATAGTTTTTAAGCTGATTACTAATTATACGTATAATTTATAAAATAATAAAAATCATGTGACGAATATAAAATACCATATCGATATATCGTATTTTGCCATATCTGGCCGAGACCAAGCTGATAAATTTATTGGTCGAACCTATAGTATTATTTAATTTTGTTCTTTAATCTGGAATTTTTCAACCTTGCTCGTATTTTAGGTTCATTCATTTTCTACATCGGAAATTTTCGTAATGGTATCTTTTGACTATATCAAATCGTCGGCCAAAATCACTAGCCATATCGATATACGTACGTATAAATTTGAAACGTATTGACGTATATTAAATGACGTAAAAAGGTAGCTACCTTTGACTTTCTAACTGTCTGCTTCTTTAGTTTTAATATCTTGTAAAAGGCGTAAAATTATAAAATTCTTAACAATGCTAAATTAAACGAAATAAAAAAAACCATATTTTTTTATATGGTTGAAATATTATTACATATATTTTGTTTGCTTTCACACCAATGCACAAGTTTTTGCAATGACATTTGTTGATATTCCAATTTTTTTTTACACTTTTGCAGTGTCTCCCATAAGTATTAACATTCTGCTTCAGACTTGATCTAACTCGTGTGCAGTATTCATATGATAAAAAAAATTTTTGATTTATTGTAGTTTTTGATCAAATAATGCTTTTTTTGCCTTATTCGTTGTCAGATTTTAATGTCTTGACATAAAAAGCTTGTTTATTAATGATAACTATCCGGTTTGGTGCTGCTTACTTCACTAACAATTATTTTAACGATATGTTATATAGCCTACATCACTCAATGTGACAATTTAGCATGGTATTAGTTGTAGGCATATGCTGCTAGTAAATCGTCGCGTGGCGCGATGTAGGATAAATGACCTTATCTGGTTTGACGAACCTGATTCGCGACATATATAAACTCATTGAAATATAGTAAAATATTGGTTAAGTAATTACAAGGCAGAGATACGTATATGCTGTTAAGAATTTTTTTTTTCATAGAGTATAACAATAGTTGAACATAATTTTTAGAAAGAATGAAAACAGTCGAGACTGAACTGACAAGTGTATAATAACAAAAAGGTAACATGTGTACGTACGAACGCAAGCAGTAAGTATTTTTGCGAAAAAAAAATTTTATTCAACTAGGCAAAAGAAAACCTAATGACATTTCAGAGAATATCGTATGAACAACTTCAGCATTAAAAAAATAATTCATTTTGCGAAAAAAATTTATTCAACTAGGCAAAAAAAACCCCCGTAATGACAATTCAGAAAATATCGTACAATTTTCAATATTTCATTCGTACATTCATTTAATATTCATTTTCCACTCAGCAGATTCGGAAACTTCACTACTTTTATCATGATGTTTGACTTCAACTTCTTTCTTAAACGTTTCAACAACAATATCATCATTTTCATTGTCATGTGTCGTTAAATATGTGAGTGTTTCACGTTGAAGTTCATCAATTGATGTTGAATCTGGTTCACGTTCAGCCTTTACCTTTTCAGCATAAAAAAGGAAATGAGTACAAATACAGAAATCGATTTAGGTATGTAACAAATACGCATGTACCATTGCTTCACTATCCGATGCCAATTTTTCATTCCAACCTGGAGCGTGCTTAAACGGTCCTACAACTTTTCCTATAGTAATTGACAAAAATTATAGTAAATCATGATAATTATGTATAGATCAATAAAATTATTTTATTTGATTTTAACCTCTCAGAAGACGTCTTTTCTCTTTATCGATGACAAACGGATCATTATCCGAAACGTTACTGTTTATAAATTTTAATGAATTTTTTTTTTGAAAAAACAAATCCCACAAAACATTCACTGAATAAACTATATAGTTGTATAATCCTTCATAAAGTACAGTACCTCCCGAAAGGCGTATACCATCGACTATAACCACTATTTAAAGGCACAAACTTGCGCACTTTCGAAATATCGGCTTGATGATGAATTTTTAGTTTCGGTAAACCGATATTTCGCTTCGTGACATGATGAGAAATAAAAGACATTGTTGTTTTTATCAGATTGGTGGAACTCGCCAGTTTTTTTATTTTATACGCCAACATTTGACATTACATAATGATTATAAAACATTACATCATAATTGCAAGCATTATTTATTATAAATATACATATATATTTATGATTTTTATATGTACACGTGACATTCGGACACCCTCTTATACTTTACCCTATCTTTACGATCCACCTTCTACAATAACGTTTGCTTCTCAGATGGGGTTGATAATAAAGGATTAGGCTTATCAGAGCTTGTGGTGGTGGCAGTCGGACCTGTCTTAGTGCTAGTTGGCGTAATATCCACTTTATTTTTAGAACCACCCAAGCATGGATAACAAAATATGAGTCTAGTGAAATATTTGAAAATATAGTATATGATAAGATCATCATTGTTGACACGCCAAACGTCCGCCATCCATTGAATAATATTTAACAATGATGACATAATAATTGCAAAAATCGAAACTGAGTAAGTGGCCATGGCGAATAACGCTGCATTTTTCACGGCCAGTGTTACTTGAGTTGTATCTGTAACATTAATTGCTTCTCCTTCAACTTGAGTACCAGTAGGCGGTGTGAAATTAGAGTTAAGTACATTTGGTTCTCCATAAGCAAGTGGCTGTAAGGCTCCTAATTGACCTATTCGAGTATTCGCTGCAGATATTGCTGCGATAATAATCAATATTTGACTTATGATTCCGATCCCTTGAGATATTTGCGCATCCCAACTTTTAGTTGATTGATGATAATCTTCATACGACGCCTTAAGTATGTGAACAAATTGGAATGGTCCTCCAAAATACAAAGGCCCTCCTAACTGCTTTGGCATTTTGGATTTCGTCGCCGTTACAACCGTATATATTGATGCCTCAATTATAAAAATCCCCGTTTGTAATGTTGTTGCCATGCCTGAAATACTTGCTACCAAATCAAGTTGACCAAATTGCCATTCCACAACATTAAATGATGCAAAAAATATGTTAAAGAAAAATTCTCCAACAGATGTTGAGTTTCCTAAAGATGTTAACCAATCCATAATAAGTGACGCGTAATAAAGACCAACCGTAATTACTACATCTAATTTATTGATCCTTGATGTAATATTCGTTGTTTCGACTGATCTTTGGTCTGGTGTGTCCGGATCCATTTTTTCAAATCCTTCTTCGATATCGTCTTTTATTTTTACGGTCTCTAGCACTCCAAGTACATCTTTAACTGTTTCTCCTGCACTTTCTCCTTGTCCTTCTGGTCCCTCTCCTGGTTTTCCTGGTCCTCCCGGCCCACCTGGTCCACCTGGTCCTCCACCTCCGCCTTTTTTACCGCCATCTTGACCTTTACCGCTCCCAGTTGATGCTCCTGAAGCTAAATGTGCGGATACACCGGGTAAATCCGGTGGTATATTGATTTCTGTTTGTTTCGGGGGCTCTCTTGACATTTCTATCTATTTAAAGTTAATGGTGAATAAATAAGTGAAATTGTGAAATTAATTATTTATTTCTATTTAATATTGCGATCGACTAACGTTCATTTCACACAAAAAAAATATTTAGATCATAATGATAATCTTTTCTCTTTCAAATACTAAATTGTAAATTCACATCTTACTTGACTATGGCCAAGTGATTGATTTCAAAAAAGGATGTGTTGGCCAAGCATAGCCACCACCGGCAATGTTTAATAATAGAATTTCTTGGTTAGGAATATTATTGATCGATCGAATCTAAGCCATTTATTCATTGCATATATTTTTTATTTACTACTTTGATCGCAAAAAATATATATAAATACTGCATATACCAGTGATGTTAAATTACCTGAAATGATCCGAATGACAAATGACTGGTCATTGGGTTATTCCAAAACCTATAGGTTTAATATTCTATTGCCATTTTAACCAAGCAGAGTTAGTCACTATATAAAAATATAATCGATGATCGCCGCATATATACGAAAAATTTTTTAAATTCTTTGTTCGCATTTTAAATTTTATAATTTTTTGAGTAGATATAAATTGCACAAACTTTTAGGACACAGTAAGATCCTTTATAATTATATATAAGGTCATATTTGAAAATAGCCAATATTACCCTTTTTTGAAATAATGTTATATTTAAAAAGTATGTATTGAGTATAAAGGTTATATTTCAAAATAGCTAATGGGTTTTAAGATATATTTAAAAACTGCTAATAAATTTTTTTTCTAAAAAATCTTATATTTAATTTTTTGATAACATTATTATAATGATATATCTTTCAAATTTACTATTTATATTTTTTTACAAGCTTAACTTTTTTTTTAAAAACTTTGAGTAAAAATATTTCAGTAATTACTAGGTTAAATTTAGTAAATTTTTTTTAAATACTATAGATGCATAGAATTTAAATAAAAAAATTTTATTAAATTTAGTTTGGTAGTTGCTAAGATATCTTAGTTCAAAGTCTAAAAAAATTTAAAATATTTATCAAAATTATAGAAATTTTTTTTTAAAATTGAATAAAAAATTTTAGCAATTATTAAATCAAATTTAATAAACTCTGTTTTGTTTAATTCTTTAAATTTGTAGAATTCAAATAAAAAAATTTATTAAATTTAGTTTAATAATATAAAAAATAAACTTAAAATTTTTTATATGAACAAAAACTTATTTAACCAAGATTTTAAATTAATAATTAATTGTAAAATGTTTCTTGAATAAAAATATTATTGTATGTATAATTTTGAATTTAATGTTTTAAATTAGAATTTTATTATGTTGTATATATGCATTGTAATAACCTATAAGATTGAATATATTCTTATACTAAAATTTTACAAGAATCTTTTTTTATTAAAAATGCAAAAAGTAGTTTTATAAACAAAATTATAAATTAAAAGTGATTTTTAGAAAAGTATTTTTTTTGAATTTTATATTATATTTGATTGTATAATCTAATTAGTTAATTAAATGAGTGTGATACAATATACAGTACTAAAAGTGTTCTCAAGCCCTGTAGTTAATTTATCAGAATAAGTTAAAGGGTAAATTTTAATTAATAAAAAAATAGTTTAATGAATCAATTATATTGTTTATCCAATGAATAAATCATATAATAAAAGTTTAATATGTCAAAGAGAAAATTTTCATTAGTAGAAGATTGTTTGATCAAGGGTATTTATCATTCTAATCAATAAGAAATAAAGATCCAGACATCTTTTTTTTTTTACAAAATTGCTCTTATTGGTTAAAATTTTACATTGATTTATTAAAAAAAACAATTGTTCAAGTATTTCTCTCTTTACATTATAGATCTTCAAGATTATTATCAATATAACTGAATTATTACCTTATTGCTTATGCTAAAAATAGTCACAAATCAAACAAGACAGAAAAATGAAACAACAAGAATGATTAATTTTTATCATCTTCTGTTCTTTACTTTATAACAATAAATACAACTATTCTATTTGTCTTTTCCTTATCTGATGTAAGAGTTTAACATTAGCAAAAACCTAAAACTAATGATTTTTAGGTTGATGTGTTTTCATATTTAAATAATAAAGAAGAATATAATTTCTTTTGAAGACATTTTTGTATTGCTTTAGCAACATTTAATTCTCTTGTATTACATTTAGAAATTTATTCAGTTTTTTTATTTGATGCTTCTAATACAACACCTGTTTGGAAACAGATTGCTATTGTATTATGATGATTAGTCAATAATGCAGAAGTGTGAGTATTAGAACAAACAATTGATACAAGTCAAAGATTAGTATGTCATTTTACAGACAGATTTCTTAAAGCATTATTAAATTTGAAAAGAAATTGTATAAAATGATCATAAGGTACATGATTAGCAACAGTAACACATAGATTTAAGTATAACAAAACAGGTTTCGAAAATTAAAAATTGTCTAATATAATTAGAGCCATGGATGAGATGCATATTCTGATTCATCGACTTTCTAAAAATGAAATCTATTTTATTAACTGTAAAAATTTTTACTTTATTAATTTTCTTGGTGTTGTTGATTATTAAAAATATTTTACTTTTATATATGTTAAAAAGACAGGTTAGTTAATAATTTATTCTTTGCATATATATGATTAGACTATATTAATATTTTTTTGTTTCTTTTTGTTTTTTTTGTAAAGAGAGTGTATATGATGCTTGAGTATTTTATTGATCCTTTCTTTATTATAAGATTTCTTTACATCTGAAACAGTAAGTTTCAGACAGAACTTATATTATTGCTAATACAGCTTATCTTATTAGAACTATTTAATAAAACCTTTTTCTGATTATAAAACTCTAACTTATAGAGAACATTATTTTAATAAAGTTCTTTTATTAATAAGAATGATTATTGAACAGATGTTTGGAATATTAAAAGGATGTTGAAAAATTTTATTAAATGAAATTTATTGTACAGATTTGAAGTGAATTATTAAAATTATTCATGCATGTTATATTTTATATAATTTATATATAGATCAAAAGAATATACTATTTTTAAAAGAAATTGAAATAGAAGCAAGTCAAGATAATGATAATAATAATAAATTGAAAGAAAATTTTATATTAAATAAAAAACAAGTAAGAAATATAGAAATTTAGAAAAAGGATTATCTTACAAATATTCTTATAAATATTTAATTAAATATTCTTATAATTATATTGAAAAAATGATTATATAACATTAAAATTAAGTTAAAATTAGGCAATTTATTTATAAATATTTTAATATATATTTAGCAAATATAATACATATGTAATTTTTATTTAAGCATTATTATATATTTGTGTAGTATATATATATATTAATTTATTTTTAGAATTTTATTAAAAATTGTCTAAAAATATTCATCTGTTTAGTATGTTGCTTTTGCTAAATTTCTGAAGTATAAGTATACTGATCTTTAATCATTTTGATAATTGTTTCAGTTTGCTCTTTAATAAGAATTCTAAATTCTTCAATATTGGCTTTTTCATTATTATGTAAACTTTTTTTTTCTTAGATTGAATCTATAATTATAATTATATATTTTAAATTGAATTAGATAAAAAATATAAAATAAACTAACAACTTACTTCATCTTTTTCTTGATTATCTTGCTTATGCTTTATTTTATTAATATAATAATTACTTGTTACTAGTACAATAATGCTTAGATCATTTTTTAAAATTTTTTATATTATTAAAGAACTCCTATTCTGTTTGAATTGCTTTTTCATCTGTATTTTTAATTGTATTCTTGATACTATAGTATTTTTGATGAAGTAATTTCTATTTTTGTTAAATAGATATTTTGGTATAACATTTTAAAGCCACACTTGCAACTGTAGATTCTTGTAGATTTGCAATAATTTTATCTCAAATTCACTTTTTTGTCTTGGATCTCTAGCTTGCTGCAATGTCTGTTGATTTTTTTCTACCTCTTTAATAAGAAAATGAGTTTTTGACAAAGTTATCTGTTAGATAACTTGTTAACAGAAGAAATACTAGTAATTGTATTGGCATTATATGAATTAAATACGTTGGTGTTTGTAAATTCAAATTCTAAAATTGGCAAGAAATTTTCTTAACTACAATTATTATTGGATAATTGTAAAAGTGAAAATCTAATCTATACAATATAATATTTTATTAATATTAAGTAAAAAGTATAAAGTATAAATACATTTTTAAAAATATTTATATACATTACTTTATTATATTCACTATCTAATTTATTAGTTACTATAGGATTTAGAAAAAGTTGAGTCAAATAGTTTGGTTATAGTAATATATGAAAGTTTATAAAATTTAAAAAAAAAGAAATAAGAACTGAAATTACTAGAATTGACATTTTATTTTTCAGTTGGCTTGTAGTAATATCTGAAAAAGAAATTAAACTTGGAATTGTCATAGATGGTGTTTTATCTTTCTGTTAATTTATTGTTTTTGCTTTTTTGTTTTGATCTTATAAAAATATAATAATCACTAAATGGTAATAATAGCAAAGGTGTTTGTTCAAGTATTAATTTCAATTAATATTCTATTTATTGTAATATTTAAGCATCAATATAATCATAAATTAATCACAATGAGATAGATATGTGAGCATATTTCAATCATATAATTACCCATATTATCAGTCCTTAATATTTATATTATTAGTTCTTAAAAATGGTCTAATTAATAATGCTATAGTGTTTTGCACTATTATAATCACTAGCTAGTTATATTAAGCATGCAGCTTGAGAACACTCTAAATGATATAACTCTTTAAATTATTATTTTCAGAATCTTAATTTTTTATAGATTTAAAATATTAAAAAATAAATTAAAATTCGTAAAATTAAAGTAAATGTATAAGTTTTTTTATTTTATAAAATTAAAATTTTTTGTATTTTTGATATAAATATTAAAATTTATAATAGAATTTTTTTTTTTTTGCTTTTACTAAGGCTGTT